TTCTTTGTTGAAATGTGTTGTGGTACTGGATATTTTTTTTTAGTTGTCGCAGATTTTGAGGATGACTCTTCCCTGTCTTATTCTCCATGTTAAGCTGAAATTTAAGGAGAATCCTTTGGTTGCCGAGGAGAGGAGGACCCTTCCAAGGAGTCATTACTGCTACTTAGTTATTTCTTTTGTTGTCCACTACTAGAGGACTCTACTTGCTGTATGGTGGAGGACTAGATACTCTATGTTTCATTTGGGTAACTTGGGTGTATTGTACTTTGTTTTGGTACTCTGATAGTTGTAGATTGCGTCATTAAGACTCTTGGATAATTTGTAGTTACTTTTGATAAATATGGGATTTATCAATATGACCAGATTTATGTTATTAATTATCTTCTGATTTTATTTGAAATGAAATTAAATAGGCAGAAAATTGATTCTTTGATGCGTGTAGGAAATAAAGGTGAACTCTGTGGGTTCATGCCTTCGTGGTTATACATTAAGTGTACCTATCCATAACAGAGTTGTAGTTGAAATAATAAACAACATATTGCATCTCATGTTATTAGTAATGGTTTATGAGCGGGTGAAAAGGATTGGAGTTCACTTATATTTGTAACACCTTAAATTTAATTTCAATAAATAAGGAATTTTGCAAATTTTTGAAATAATAAAATTTCCATTTTCAATCCAAGTTTCATCAAACATTTCAAATACAGAAAAGGGGTTACAAATTGCATCAAACAATTGCTACAGGACTTATTCAAATACAACAGTTTTCAAAATAACATCCTAAGTCCTATAGCAGTTCCATCCACCCTCTTCACTGAGTCTGGTGCTGATCGTCTTGATTACCTGAAAAATGAATGTAAGGGTGAGTACTCTACACTACCCAAAACACACAGTCAACATAGAGTCTCACCTTCAGCACATTTCCAATACATTAAACAAATATAATCACAGGCAGCATTATCACACAACTCATGTCAATTTAACACCGATGCACTCACAGCATCGGCAACATTTCACATCCATAAGTACAATTCATAAACCCGTGCATACACACGCCAGCCACACTCACTGTGGCACTGTGATCATGATTTACACCATGAATGGTTGCTGGTTACCCCCGCCTCACGGAGACCACGTGGGCAGTCACGGGTCGCTCAGCAAAGATAGTGGTCAGAGGTCTAGTCAGGAAGAGAGTGTGTGGTCCGTGGTGCACCCGTTCCACAGTCGGTGTCACCATCACTCCCTCTTCCCCAAGGTATTTCTACTGTCCTCATCTTCCACACCCCCAGTGTATCGCTGAACCATTCATAGCTCATTACAACGGCGCTAATATGCCTTAGTCACGCATGCAATATTCATGCTTCACACGACACACAGCCTACATTTTATTCATAATATACGACACTAGGCCTACATTCATTTCATAGCACACGACACATAGCCTACAATTATTCATTCATATTACACGGCCCTTGGGCCCACACTTTTAACAACATTCATTCAATATATATATATATATACGGCACAAGTGCCCCATTCACAATGCTTGGCATACAAGCGCTCATTCTATCACACAATCTCTAGCATGTAGTTCATATTCATTAATTTCGGGAAAACACCCTTTCCCCCATCCACACTCACACATAATATTCACATATCATGGCACATGGCCCACATCATATTTCACAGCAATTTCCTACCTTATTACTCAGCCACATCACTATATTCCACAGATAAACAGCAAATCACATATATTTGAGATAGGGTAGAGCCCCTTTTACCTTGGATTGAAGACCCGCACTCGGATACAACCTTGGAAGTGCTCCCCGCACGGTTTTCGGCCTAAAACACATGGAAGGACTCCATGAGAATCCAAGGGAACCCAGAAACAGAGAAAAGGGGATGAGAAATAGAACCCTAACCATTAAAACTCACCTCCAAGCGTTCTCCAGATGGATTTAACCTTCAATCAAGCTCCCGAACAGCTTTGGAGGCAATTAATTGGTAGAATAGGGCTTTGGGTCGAGAAGATCAAAGAGATTTGGGAGGGAATTTGAGAAATGAATTTCAAATCCCTAAACCCCATTTTAAAACCATTCTGATCGCGACACTCTTGCTATAGCGACAACTCTTGCTGTAGCGAGGCATCTCTCGTTGCAGCGACGCCCTCTATCGCCATAGCGGAAATCTTAGACGAAACTGCATTCTGGTTTCTGCAAAATTTTGCTACAGCGAGATTGCACCCAGAAATGCACTCCCCTCTGTCGCTCTCTCACTACAGCGAGACATCTCTCGCTACAGCAAGAAGGCGACAGTTCGCCCTTTTCCTCCCGGGGTCCTCTCGCTATAGCGAGAACACCTTGCATCTAGGCACTTAGCCTATTTTCAGCCCAATACAGTCATGCACACATATATATACACATTCATAACAATAATTAATATTATCAAAATTTGGAGCGTTAAAATATTGTTATGCCAATACGTGGTATAGCTATATTATCCAAGTGGTACTTACTAATATCATGATTTTCTAAATGTTTTAAGTATGTGTAAATAAAGAAATAGTATCTCATGAGTAATTATAAGTAATAAGAGCATGACATATATTTTTATAAACTGTTCTCTATCAGGTGCATGAAGAATCAAGATCCATGTCGTAACTGTGTGTCACTTAAAAGCAAGTTTCTCAATACTCAAGAATGATAGTGGTATCCATAAATCAGGTTGAGTAATTTTATGTACTCATGTTATTAAAAAAAATCTCATTTTGTCCAAGACTTTTAATAACAATCAGTATACACTACACATCAAGTTATCCAAAGAAGGGATGAGAAGTAGTAAGATTGTTGGTCCCGTTACACATCCAATCAAGTTTCAAGATCCTTGTTTGCCATTAATGAAAATTGATTATTTTACGCATTTTTTTGAATTTTAAACTATTTTAAACAAGAAATGAAAAAATAAAATCATAAACACCTTAAAGGTTGTTTTTGTTTTTCTATTTTAAAAATTGAAAATAAAAAAAAATAATTTTTTTTAAATATTTAAGTTGACAAACAAATTTTAATTTTAATTTTTAAAAAGTAAAAAATATATATTTAAAAAGGGAATCAATCATGCCTAATAATATGCCTCTTCTTCTTTTACGATTTCCGTCTTATTATAATTCCTTTTTTTTATCTGGTTCTTATATTATTATTTCTATATTTATATAATTATTTATTTATAAGTATACATAACCAAATCAAAAATGATTTTTTTATTAAGAAATAATTTATATTAAAATGGTAAAAAAAATATTATTATTGGTAAAAGAATATTTACATATGTATATAGATAAGGGGGATGTAACAGAATATCTAATGCAAAAATTATAGATAGATACTAAAACTTAGATTTATAAAATTTTAAAAACCAAAATTAAAATTAAGATAAATTATAGGAATAAAAAAATATTTAAACCGTATTTTGAAAGAGAATTAGATACACAAACAAAGGTTGAATAAATAAACTTGGAAGGAATCTCTTCTACCCAACTTGCTCAAACCCCTTTAACCGATACCTTTTAAACATAATTATCTAATTTTCCCCATAGAAGTCATGTAGCAAGTTCAAAATTAGATGACACTAGTAAATTGTTTCCTGCTAAAAAATGGTGTCAAATTTTATTGCATATTGCGAAAGTCAAAGCTACTTTGAACTTTCAATCTTGTAGATAAATATTTAATAAAAATTAAGTAGAAAAAGTTACTCATATAATCTAGTTGTTTTGAACTTGATATCTTTTGCATTTTGGACGGTTTCTATTCCTTTTAAATTATACAGGTTTAATTGCACTTTTCCTACACTTATTTTAATTTATATGTGGTTTTGATCTCTCTAATTCAACTGGTAGTATTTATTCTTCATAGTTTTTTAATTGTTCTAATTAAATCGAGACACTAAAATATCATTCAACAATTAATAAAAATATGATAAAGACATAACGTATTATTTGTAAATTATTTATATATATATATATATAATATTCAAATAAAAAATGTATAAAAATGATAAAACCTTTTAATTTTAATTAATTATTGTATATACTTTTCGTTTTGTAAATCTATACAAATTAATGATATATTATATTTTAATTTATTATTAGATAGAATTTTGATATGAGAGCCTTAATTTAAATAATTAAAAAAATTATAAAAACAAAATATGAACAATAAAAATTAAAGAAATTAAATAGGTGATTTTGAATCCTTGGTTTTCATCTCAAATGTGAGCTAGGAAATAGATCTGAGGCAGCCACCAAATTCACGTATTTATCCTTATGCACTTAGTAAATAGGAAACTTAAGATGAAGATTGGATGGTTCAAATCTCAAATGCATGTTCAGAGTCCATTTTGGTAAAGATTAATAGATCCAATGATTTTAATTCTGATTGCGTGAATGCATGAAAACATTGATTGCGATATGTATATGAATGGTCATAACTTTTTTTAACATGATAGATACAATACCCAATTTGCATACTACACATTTCCAACAATATGTTTAGGAAAAAATATTCTGCTTCTATAAATATTACTTTTTTAGTAATCATTTTTAAAATGTTAATTTGGTTAAAATGTTTTTATTTGATATTAAAAAAATGAAATATTTAATTATTATGAAAAAATATTCAAAATTCCTTTTAAGAAATACGCCATCAGATTTTTCTTAAACCACAAAAACATTCTTTATTGAACCACCATTCATTCTTAAGAAACAATTAGTCATTGCTAAAAAAGGTATTCAATTGTATACGATTTGCCTTGTGGCAAGATTATAATTTGTAAATCATGATTTAACCATACGAAAAAACAGCACTTTCAACATCTATTTAGTTAAGACCAAGCATGTGGTTTATTTGTGAATAAAATTCGGTTACCACTATTCAAATCATGGTTTCGATAGTGTAAATTAGAATAAAAAAAATGCCCCTCAGCATTACCAAGTATTGTTGTTCATAATGCATTTCTTGAACTGCATTTATTGAAAAACCAGAACCAGAGACAATACATTAAACCAAAGGTCATATTGACTTAACAGCTGCATAAAAAACAAGGGACGTTTGTGTCAAAAAAACCCATCATAAAATTCAAGTAAACCTTAACCTATAATGCATATATGCATACTATAAATGTGGTAAAGAAAATAAAGTAAAAGTCCTATATATGACATTGCGTTAACAAAAATGACACTTTACAAGTTCCTTTTCTTTGCATACATAACACTTTAACAGAACCTAGTAATAATTATTTTGTCTAGCTTACCTGTAACCAACCCCTTTTGTATTAAAAAAGATGAAACTATCATATTAGTATGGTCACCCTGTAAAGATTTTCTTCCTACCTTTTTTATCATGTACAAATGCCACATCCACTGGACTTGTATCTGAAACTCAACATTCATGAGTTCAACATAATGCCTATAATGCTGCAACCTCACCATGCTTAATGCAGCTCTTTTCTTATTGTTTTGAGCTTTTCTTTTCAGACTTGGAAACTTGAGATTGTGAATTGGAATTATCATCTTGAGCCTGAGAATTAGATCTATGATGATAGTAATTCTTGGAATTCTGAATGGCTTGTCTAAGTTCAGCGTACATCTTGACAGAAGATCCAGAAAAATTATTCAATTGACCAAGAAATCTAAGAAAGCTTGCACGAAATCGATCAAAACCTGAGTCCCAGTCCTCTAAATTGTCATCTTTCAGTAGATTATTTGATGATTCGCCACCTATATGAGCATTCCAAGATGTTATACGGGGGTGATTTGCACCTTTACCCTGATTCTTTTCTTGACGTGGCAAGAACCGAGCAGTTTCACCAGCTAAACTCTTTATAGAATCCACAACATCCTGGATGGGTAATTCACCAAGCTTTTCCAACCAGATGTCACAGGTGGCGTATATTGGAGGACCGTAAATTCGCAGGAGTGGTAGTTGGGGCCTCCTCTTCTTCTTGGCTTTTTTTTGTTGAAGAGAAACACATTTGTTTAGCCATCCATTTATTGCCTCCAGATAGGATTTCTGTGCTCCAATCCACTTTGTAAAACTTGAGGCTAGATAATTGAGTTCACTTTCAAGATAGGAAGTAATTTGTCTGTGTATTTCGGAGTGATTGGTTATTCTAGCATGGCTGTTGCTATATGCTGTTGACATAATCTGAAATTGAAGCTTATGGCAATCAAACATCACTTCCCACATCCGACTTAACCTGCCACAGAAGTGAAATAAAAACTTAAGAAACAAAAACAAAAGCATTAAGTTCATATTATTGACACACGTGAATTAACATGTATAAACCATACATACACTTCATACCTAAGAAATCACATGTAACCTACATTGCAAAGGTTATTTTATTAGTACAGCATCAGTAAGTTATTAAAATATAAATCAGAAAGTCAGAAACCTTGAATAATAAAAAATTGTGAAGTTAAACTTGGGAGCATTTTGATAAGCTTTGAAAAAGCACTTCCATGATATATCCTTTTTTAGTTTTATTTCTAGAATCTACACTTTCTAGCTTATGATAAAAGCAATAAAACAGCATTTTTTGGGGTTTCAACTTTTTTCTTCTCAAAAGCTTATTTAATGATCATAAGAAAAATTAATTCTTTTAATTAAAAGAAACTTATCGTACGAACAAATCAGTGTTAACTTCGGTAAATTTTCAATTATACCATGCTACAAGATTACTCCTGATTTTAGGGTTGGAAAAAAGAAAACTATTAGTAGTGTCTCTTGACGTTTATACACTATTCTTTAGGACCCTCGCCCATTATTGACACATAGGGCTTCTACCTAAGTACCTAAGCAAGAACTTGAACACGACATAGGGAGAATGTAGCTTCAAGATATGAAAAGCATCATATGATAATAATCATTTCACTGCAGCCCCCAAAAAGGAGGGGAAGAAAGCATTCGCAGTGTCTCTTGCACCAGAATAACATTAACAGATTTGAACAATTTAAACTCTACTTCACTACGAAAAATTGGATAAGAATTTGAAACAGTATACTCCAATTGTGTAAGCCAGACATAGAATGACAGTCACAATAAACGGGAAAATTATGTAATTCAGTAATTGGACAACAACTCTTTCCAAGAAACTTCTACTTCAAAAATCTTCTGGTTAGTAAAGACACTCCAAATTGCTTTCTCAGTTAGTGCAATTTTCATCCCAATCTTGAAATATAATGCAAGATAAAAAGTTAACACACGACAGCATGAAAAAGTACCAGAGTTAAACAGCAGGAAGCCAAAGAATCTTACCCTTCAATCAATTCCTCAAGTTGAGGCTGAAGCTCTTTGTCCCGTAATTCTTCAATCCTCTTTGATATAGAGTCTATCCTAAGAATTGCAACTCTGATTCTTGAATGCAGATCCTTGACTACAGCACGTGTTTTATCAATTGTAGATGTCTTTACTTCTTTTGATTCCAGATGCTGTAAGATTTTACACTTCCTGTCATATTCCTTTCTGATCACCCCACTAGCCTGCAATTAGAAGAAATAAATATTAGTAAATAGACAAACAAATGCCCATATTAAGATCAGATAATTATAAAGGCCAGCTGACCTGAAAATTCAGTCTCTTAGAGGAAAGCATAAAGAATTTCAAAATTATAATTTCTGGTGAGACTACTGTTGTTGACCTCATGTCATGTTCACACTTGTTAGAATACATATAGCAAGGTTTACACTTTCTTGTATGTAATAAAAAAAATATGGTGTTTAATGATGATTCTGATAATAAAACCTAAAATCCACATCCATTTTAATTATCAGTTTTACTATGGTCCACAATTATGTATTACTAGTATTATCATCTATTAATTTTACTTATCATTTGACCAATTAGATCAATATATTCAAACTGATAAGAAACAAAATAAAAGCAACCAGGGCTAATCGATAGAGACATTTTTCACAAGACTCCATACAATTGAGATTAAAAAAGGCAGGAGGGGGTGGGGACCATTAATCCCTGATGCACAATGTATTAAAATCATGATCTTAATCTTGCTTTGTTGACTGTTCCATTTATGAAGGGGGAATAGGCCATAAATTTGCTTTAGCTTCATATGCTCAGCCCACTGTTTGTCACTTCTTTCCTGCATCACTACCTACAAAATCTTGCTGTGCATTCCACAAGCAAAGCCAGCCCCTACCACTCGTATCTATCCTGTCTATTTGGTTTCTACTCGCACTTACCGTGAATATTAGAAATATAGCCCTTACCTAGTTACTGTCCGCCAAGCCAAGCCAAGCCACCAAGGGCTTTTAACAAGTTTAAGTGATATTACTAGTCATGAACTCAAATTTGACCATGTCATGTCAGTACCCTCTCCAAATTTTGATCTGTAAAACATCCTAGTTCTACGTGATTTGTGGGATAAACATTCTTTAAGGGGAAATTTTTATTTATAATACCAAGGATATCAGAGGCTAACATGAAGAATATGGCCGACTAGAACCTAAAATCATGTCATGTCAAGTAACCACTTAATCTAATATGGTAAGAACCTTTGAAAAGGACAGACAAGATTCACAAGAATATGAGAAAAGGAAAAGATAGAACAGTATAAGAGGATGCGATATGGCCTGAGAGGATAAGTTGAAGATACTGCTTATTTTGATCCACAACTGTATAAATATTCCCAAAACAACACCGTATATTTACATAGAAAAATCCCTTCTTCCATAGTTCAAAGCCAAGGCAAAGTCAGCAGGTGGTAGTGGGGCCAGCAGGTTGATGCAGTGATGGCAGGGTGCAGGTGACAATTGTGTAAGTGCTAGTGTGTTGATCTGGTGCTGAGGAAAGTAGAAATGGTGTCATACAAGTTTTCTTATTGAGCCTTATACATGGAAAATCCTCAACAAAACTTACCATTTGTATAAGCTTATAGAATGTGATGTGTGCACCAATTTTATATATAGCTACTGTATCTAGGGTGCCAAACAAGCCATACAAACGAAATGCCACCAATCATGATGATAATTGCATGTACCTTGTGTGTGAGCATATGTGTGCGGAAAAAAATTAAAAGGAGTGGTATCAAATCAATGAACTGCTTCACTAAGAAACAGTTGATATCCTTTATTCTACTATCACTTGTACCTTATTGCTTAAAATACTAGTTAATAAATCACTCTAGGGCTTAGTCTACTATCCAAACCAAGATTTCTTCAACATCCTACTATCAAAACATAACATACCCAAAATACAGGTAAGTCAGTAATAGTTTATAAGAAATACACAGTACCTTGACTTCATCATAGAGCTTCCTTTCCCATGCATATAATCTATCCAAGGTTGAAGCATGACTTCCAGAGATCATGCAGAAATTATCAAAGAGATTATTGGTAAGGTCCTCTATATCATCTTTTGAGTTCGCTCCCAAAGGGTTTCTGGATGAAGAGGATCGAGATGACATCGTCCTATGCCAAGTTAAGTACTTAACCGAGTTTTGTGCAGGTTCTAACAAGATGTAATGAAAAATTAGATATAAAATTCAAGACACAGCTTTCATCAAACAGCAATTACCATAGATAGAGAGTATTTCAGAAGCTTCTAATATCACAGAAGATTGGCAAATGGCGGGTAGTTAAATACCAATATAAAACAATCGTACTAACAATTTTGGTGGGTGACAAACCAACTACTAATGAAATTCGATAAAAATCATAATTCGACGCACAATTCTAACAATACAAAGATTTAGAAATAGGATACTATCATTCCTACCAGAGCAAATATGTGCTCCAAAGGAATATGTCTGAACAAACAATCAGACAGCTCAACACAAGATGATCTGCAAAGTCCTGGTAACATGAGAGATCAAAAGCAAAAAGACTGAAAAATACCTTCCGGAAGGTGACTAGGGTCTTCCCCACATGAAAAACATGCCTTCAAAAATGAGGATGGCCCCGAATTATCTGTTACAATAAAGAATTTTTATGTCTAAATGTTAAATTGTTTAATCTTGAAGTGAATTGCATAACAATGTAAAAAACCTTCCAAAAACCCCTTTGACAATGAAATTTCATTTTAAACCCCAAGTAAAACAAGAAGAAACCTAGTAAAAAAAGTACCATGATCTCAGTCATAGATATTTACGCAGGAACAGGCTATAGGGAAAACCCCCCTTTTATTGTTTCCAGCTAAGAGTCCATATAGTTATTTGTGTAATCTATAGGTAGCATAGCCATAGACCATAAACAATAAGGAAAAACACAACATGCCATAAGAACTTCATTTTTATTTTATTTGCACACCTGTATAAATGGATTTGAATGCTCTCATGTGTCTTTTACACATGAATAAGAAGAGGGTGATAAACACAAAGAACCAGCACAAGGCCCATAAATTTTGTTATGTCCAGGATCTCTGCATTATGTCTATCCACATGATCTTCTCAAATAAAAAATTCATGAGAGGGATCCAAATCCTACTAAGAACTGTTAAAATTTAATATTTCCCAAATGGCATGGACACAAAGAAACATATGGAGAATAAAAGGCTAGAAAAATTACTTTCTTTTGCTGGAAATAGAGGACGAAAGTGCAATTTATTTGCCTCAAGCATTCTTGGAACCTCTTTACCAGATTCAGAGGCTTTAACAAAGAGGAGTTCAACATCTTTCATGCTTGAAAAGAAATCCTTAGGGACAACTTTATTTTCACTATCATTTTCTTTCACCGTGGATTTATTTGGTTCAGTTGGAACTACAACTGCTCTAGAAGCTGACTTTAATGGTGATACTTCAGGAGAGCTCCCCTTTTCCCCATTCACAAATTCAACTTCAGAAGCTGAATCCCCTGTCAGAGGCTTATTTGTGGCAGGAAAACCATTGGCTTGAACGTGATCATTAACTCTATTAAAGTTTTCAAATCTTCGGACTAAGGTATCTGTGGCAGGCTCATCATCAAATTCATCTTCAGAATCCAGAGAGTCTTCACTTCCATGAGAAGAAATCTTGTCCTCATCATTTTCCAACTCAGGAATTCCTTCCTCCTCGCTAAGCAGTGTTATATCATCAGCATTCCCCGTATCATGGAGCATGACCTTTCCTTCTTGAAAAGAAAATTGATTATCAATTGGATGAAAAAGACCAAAAAAGTCCCATGGTGGAGTTCCAGCTGGAAGAGAAGAATCATCAAATGCTGATGTTTCAGACCTTTCAGTAGATCGAGGAGTGGCATGTAGTGGAGCACTTGATGATGTTACCGTTCCTATTATAGGTACAGGTGGTTTTTCTTCAACCTTTTTAGAAGAATTACTGCTAAATTTCATATGATTTGCTTGGAATTTACTAAAGGTAGGAGGAGAGGGAGTTGGAGAAGCATCAATGTGCTGTGACACAGATGGAGAAGAGAGTGAGAACTGGGACATGGTCTTCTCGAGTGGCTCTGGCGTGGCATTAGTGGAAGTATATAAGGAAGATTCAATTGGTGCTTCAGGTTCAGTGAATTTTCTCAAGGCTGTTCCTGTACTTTTCAGTGACTGGACATATGAAACATGAGCAGCTGCTAATGAGCAACGGCCATCAAGTGCTTGCCTAGCAAATTTCTTCCGTTCACGGCACAGCTGGAGTGCCTTATCATCATCCATTTTGGAGCTTGAGGCCCCCATTACAACAAGCCTAGACTTACCTTCTTTCCCTTTATGCAAGTTTTGGTAAAGGACTACTATCTGTAGATTAATTCAGTATCACATCTATTAGAGAAACAATAATTTAATTCTATACAAGTAGTATAACAAAAGAAAATTACAGCTCAGAAGCAACTCAATATCCACAAAAACAGATTATGAAACATTACTATAGTTACTAGCATCAAGTCTAAACATTAACAGGTGTTAAAGATGTTTTAGTGTGTCATAACAATGAAATATCTCCATTATTATATACCTGTCAGAAAAGCAAAGCAGAAATAAATCTGACCAACACCCAGGACAAAAAATAAGAGTTTAAAAAGATGTAATTAAATCACCAATGCAACAAACAGGCCTAACTACTGCCATAGATTTCATTGTTTCAATCAAATAGATGATACTTTACTATTGATCATCTTTTTAAAAAAATAAAAATGAAAACCAAAGTTGGGGGCAAAGAGATAAGAGAACCCCATGAATATTACCACAACCAAACTTTCCAAATTTAGCATGAAAACAAAATCCAAATCCATGTAACACTAATTCCACACAAACTATGCATAAACAACATCACATCCTCAATCCAGAAACCCTCAACTCTGCCACCAAAACTACCCAATAGGTACAGTGACAGCACAAAGAAGTCAATCCAATACAGAAAGAAAAATAGATAAGCAACAAAGGAAGGAAAATTTCAGAACCCAATGGGAAACACAGTGCCTGGAGAAGCAGAACAAAGCAATAAAATTTAGCACAAAGTAGAAAACTTTCAAGGAAGAGAAAGAAAACCCACTTGCAAAATTGGAAAACAAAAAGTGGGTCACTCTCAAAAAATCATGAAACTTTCGAATGGCACAGTACATGTATCTTGAAGAAAACAGCACAGTGGAAACACAAACCAAAAAACGGAATAGAATTTGATAAAGTTGGAAATATTGGGTAGCGAGCGTGCAGTGAATCAGTTGTGGAAGTCAAGAACTTGGAATTCAGCGAGAATCGTGAACAGAGAAGAGAAGGGAAACTTGTATTTTATTTTATTTTATTTTTTCTCTCCCTAGGAAGAGAGAGAAACAGCGGGAGAGGAGAGAGAAAGAGAAAATGGGAGACGAATCTGGGATCGGCCCATCGCTGTTTCCATGCAAAAGGCATATGAAAAGACCATCTTAGTTTGGATGTGCGCCCCACCTCATGTTATTTTTCTGGTAATAGGACCCACTCATGTGTTGTTTAAAATAAAATATTTTTTATTAAAAACATATTATTAATATATCTCTTCTCATACTTTTCAATGTTATTTTTTAAATCATATATTTTGATTCTTTAATCATTATCCTATAAATATTAATTAGCGAACCAAAAAAAAAACGAAAAAGAACACTTTCTTGTTGAAGCATCTAAGCTTTTTTCTTTTTATATTTTTTAATAAGAGGCATCTAATTTCTACTTCTTCAATCATCCACTACTTTCTTGTATACTTTTATGTGTTTGTGTTGTTTTTAAATATGGTTTGCTAAATACAGTCGTTCAATACAAAACCATGTATTTCTTGCACAGATCTTATCAAATTAAAATTTAAAAAAATATTTTATAATTATTTTTTATTTTAATAATTTTTATAAATTTAAAAATAAATATTTTTACTACTAATAATAAATATTGAAAAGAGATTAAATTATATTAGTTTATATATTAATAACTAATATCATTTAATAATTTTTATTAAAAATTAATATAAAATCAGCTATTAAATTAAAATCTCTAATCATATAAATTATATTTAAAAAAATATGAATCCATAATTATTTAATACTACATTCATGTATATTAAAAGTAATATCATATATCTATAAAAGAGACTAAAAATACAACCTTTAACATATATTTTTTATAATATATTTTTTATTATTAGTTTAAATTTATTAAAAATTATAAAATTATGAGTTTCGTTTCTAATTGAATGAGTTATATCATAATTAATAGTTTTAAATGAATTTAAACTACTAATAAAATGGATATTAAAAAAATGTGTTGTTAACGCTCATATTTTTTTGAAATATGTGAAAATGAATTTTTTATTATAATATTATATTTATTCAACATTAACATAATTTAATATAAATAATTATGATAAAATATAATTATAATTTAATAATTTAATCCATAAAAACTACTTTACTTTATTAATAATATAATTATTAGTACTTTTTACAAAATTTGATATCTTTTCGTAAATTTAACATTAATATTTTGAATAAACTCTTATTTTAGTCTATAAATAATAAGTGTCAAATATTTAAATATCTAAAATTTTAAAAATATTACATTAATTTCTAACTTTCATTTTTGTTAGAAATTTTAATCATTAGATTAGATACTATCAATAACAACAATAAAATAATATTGATATGTTATGTTAAATGATACATATGATTAAGTATGTTAAACATTTTAGTCTCTAACTAAAATACTTGATGAATAACAATCTTAAAAACTAAAATGTCTAACAGTTGACAATTTCAAAAATTGAAATAAAATGAAAATATATATCATATTATATACGATGTCATTTTTATCATGTAATCAATCATACATATTGCTTGCAATATTTTGTTATTGTTTATTGATAATATATGTATCTAAGAATTAAAATATTCGACGAAGACAAAGGATAAAGGCTAACACGATGTTTTTAAAATTTTAAAAACTAAAATTTGGTATACTTATTATCTCAAAGATCAAAATGATGATTTAATTTTAATATTTTATAAAATCAAATCAAGCAATTAATTCACAATGATATTATTTTTTACTAAATAAAAATTAATATTTTGTTGACTAATTTATTTAATTTAATGATTTTCTATTAAATTATTTATTTTAACTAATATTTTAAAAAATTAACATGAAATATAACAAGATATATATAAATTAATCATCATTAAAATAATATTTATTTTTATTTTTAATTACTAACAAAATTATACTTTTAAAAAAATGAAGTTAACTTAATCTAAATTTAACACTTCCTCTGTTAAATAACTCAATATAAAATATAAATTTAACGATTTAAATGTTAAATTATCATAAAATCTTAGATAACTTTAATATTAACTGATATTTATTTTATAGTTAATTCTTACCTTTATTTAAAAAAATAGTATTCATTAAAATAAAATTGGGCTAAATGATTTAAATAATATTAATTTAAAAAATTATCAAAATAAAATATAAAAAAATTATTCCCTGTCTAGGGTAAATTTTTGCCACGTAAGCACCTGTTTTGTATTCAAACCAGACGAAATTGATATTTTATTTTTTATAATTAACATTTCATCTAAAAGAAAAATGAAACACCTAAGAAGGCGACATGTGTCAATAATTTCGTATGAATGACAGACTAAACAACCGCCACGTGTCAACATTTCAGTAATTCATCTCAAAATTGGACAAAACCATAGGATGATGACACGTGTTTGCATCTGGTTAATTAATATGGCTTTCGCCTATAGTTGAGACGAAATCACTATTGCCCATTGGTCAAAACACATATGCTGCACCCTTTTATCCAGCACAATTGAAATATAAAAATGTTATAATTGCGGGACCAAATCACGCTATCACATTGAAAGAAGAAGAGGAAGATTGCTGGGAAATATTGGTAAAGATTGGAAGAAATTTTAAGGTTAGTCAATTTTGAATTTTTTTTAGAATTTTTTTATTAATAAATTATTCAAATAGAAATGTTTAAATTATTTAAAATAATAGAAGTAGTTAAAATATATAAATATTTAATAAATATTTTTTGTGTATGTTAAAAATAAAAAATAAAATTTTAAATATTTTTAAATAAATTATAGAAGTTAGTAGATATTTGATATTGACTTGTTTAATAAAAAATATGATGTTATATTTGTTGAAAATATTTATTTTATATATGTGGAAAAAATATTACATTTTTTGTAATATAAAATGATGTGAAAAATAATAGTATATTTGTATGTGTTAAATATAATTTATTTTTATTATTTATATAAATAAGTATAATTGTAATTTTTTATTGATATGTTTTTTTTATAAATGCAGGATGAGTGAGATTATTATTATTGTATATTGGAATGAAAAAATTGTTATTGGAAATGAAGGTGTGACATTTGAAGGTAACAAAAAATTATAAAGATAAAAAGAGGGATAAGTTTTATGAATTTAAAGAAAAAGATTCGTGAGAAATTGAATCTTAGTAATAATCATGTCATATCTAGAATTATTTCTCAATTTATGGTTGATTCAAACGCTAAACAATACAATGCATTGGATATATGTGATGATGAAAACATTGATTGTATGATTAGTGCGTATCAACAACAAAATTTTACAACTGTTATTGAATTATATGTAGATATTGCATTTGGTGAGAGTTCAAGAGTTAGGTCAAATATGTTGGACTTAAGCTTATCAATGTCACCGCCTAACCTCATGGAAATGGAGAATATAAATGTTACAGAAGGTATAAATTATACTATTTCTCCTTAATTTTAATTTATTTTTAGTGACAACACATATTAAATAAGTGTATGTATTTTGAAAGATGTGGAGAGTTATACAGCTATGAAGATGAAGAAGTCAATAATGAGGATGATAAAAATGATGATGATGATATTGATGAAGGACATATTCTGTTAAACAGCTCGTCAGATACAAACATTGATGGTGATTTTGATTTAAACTTAAATTTACAACAAAAAAATGTTGGCGGTAACATTTAAAGAGTATATTGATTATGTCATTTAATTTATTTTAATGATGAATAATTTATTTCAATATGTAGTTGTAGGTGAAATACCATTTTGGAATGTAAGTCCACACTATAATTATATTAATTGGGACCACCTAGACCAAGAAATTGAAGCAAAAGAAATTAGTGAAGATATTTCATGGGTTATTGGAGATCCATTACATGTGGGTTTATTATTTGACTCGAAAGACGAAGTGAAAAATGCCTTAAAACAACATGCAATGAGGATACATCAAAATTATTTTGTTGTTGAGTCAAAACCAACAAGTTGCATGTGAGGTGTTTAAACCATAACAATGGTTGTCCATGGAGAATAAGAGCATCATTGCTTAAAAATTCAATAAAGTGGAAAATAACAAGGTGTAGGGGGTAAGCATACATGTCTCAACTCTTCAATATCTCAAGATCATACCAAACTAGATTCAGATTTGATTTGTTCATGCATAATTGGTAAGTTTTGTATAATATTTGTTTTTGTGAAGCCTTTTCTTAATAAACGTACTTAGTTCTTTTGTTGTGTTTTGTGTAGGTATGGTTAATCTTGAACCACCATTGCCTATAAGTCTAATTCAAGAAAGGATGACAAATCAATTTGTATATAAAATTTTATACAAAAAAGCTTAGAAGGCAAAACAAAAGGCGATTGTTAGAATATTTGGTGATTGGGATGAATCATATGCTACATTGCCAAGATGGTTAGAGTACATGCAATTTCATGCTCCAGGGTCTGTTTATAAGATTGAAACGAAACCATTTGTTGTTGGGCATCAAGAGGATAACAGATTTAGAGTATTTGAGCTATTATTTTGGTATTTTCATCAATGTCGGGAAGCATTCAACTTTTGCAAACCTATTGTTCAAGTAGATGGAACATTTTTGTATGGTAAGTATCGTCACACCTTGTTGATTGCAACAACACAAGATGGAAATAATTGTGTCCTACCACTTGTGTTTGCAATTGTTGAAGGAGAGACTCTATCAGCGTGGGAATGGTTTTTGACAATGATTCGTGTGCACGTAACAACAAAGACAAGAATATGTTTAATATCTGATAGGCATCAAAGCATCAAAAGTGATGTTTCAAACCCACATATTGGATGACAACCTCCCAATGCATATCATGTTTATTGCATTCGTCATATTGCCAGCAATTTCAATAAAGAATTCAAGAACATTGAGTTGAAGAAACAACTGACAAAATTAGGTAATATGATTTAATTCATATTTGGCTTCCTCTTACGTTATATTTATTTTAATTGTCAAGTCATGTACATTGCAGCATATATACCTTCAAAGCTTGTATTTGAAGAGAAGTTGAGAAGATTTTACACT